TCCCACCATCCTCAGCCTTCCAAGCTGACAATGGAGACGAGTCTCAGGCCAGGCCGGCCGCACAGCTGCTGGAGGGCTCCCATCCCGTCACTCCTGTCCATCACTGCCTGGCAGCCCCCTCCTTGCAGGGGAAGCTGCAGGGAGCAGCCCCCAGGGCCCCTGCCTGAGTGTGTAACAGAGGAGAAAGAAAGGGCAGAATTGAAGGGCGGGGGTGTGCCTGTACCCAGCAGGCCATGGAGGAACTGGGACTCCTGCAGGAGGGGCTGTGGCCCTGCCCAGCGCCCAGGATGGGCTCACGTGAGTCCTGGGCTGCGAGGCCCTCTGCAGAGCTGGACAGGGTTGGGCCTCTGATGGAGGCGCAGAGGCCTGGACTGGGGAGAGTCCAGACTGGAAACCAGGACCCGGCCGGATCCACAGGCCTCCTCCCGGGGCACAGGGCTCCTCTTGCCCCTGCCTCTACCAAACCCAGCCCTGGCATAGCTCCCTCCTGGTGCCCTGTCCTCTGGGCCCCGTTCTGCAGGCCCTGGGAGAGACACTCTGCCTCCTCCCACACTGGCTCCTCCAGCCAGGCCCCGCCAGAGTGGCAGCCCTCCAGCCAGGCGCATCCCCAGCTGCTCCTGACACCCCAGCTGGCTGGCGGACCCTCCCACAGAGATGCACAGCCTGCCCGGCGCACACCGCGAGGGACGATTACCAGCCCCGCCCCTCTTACGATTTCCCCACCCCAACATGGCAAACCCCCAAATACAGCGGCATCAAGAGGAGGATGGCAGGGTTGGCAAAGCTTAGAGATAGCCAGAGGTATCCAGTGCCTGTGCCCTCCCCTACCTCCCACCCCTCTAAGAGTGGAGGGAGGGGAGGTGTGAACTGGTAGGGCCAAGTGAGACCAGGGCTTCACACCTTGAGGTAGCAGGATGGAGGGCACTATGTCTGGCCCTGGATTCTAGGGGAGGGGCTTGTGGGTGGTGCCAGGCCACCCGGCCAGGCAACAGCAGGGTGAATGCTCCCACCAAGCCCCTGGGCTCCCAGCCTGGTGCTCTTGCCGCTGCATCAGAATGACTGTCTGCACTCCCAGTCCCAGTGAGGAGGGCAGTGTGGGGCATTGGCAGCTGCAGACTTTGGAGCCGGTGCAGCCTGGTTTGTGCATCCTGGCTCTGCTGTGTATTTATTGTGTGGTATGCAGTAAGTCATAGAACTTCTCTGAGCCTCAGTTTCACCATCTGTAAAATGGGTATACTTATTTGTTATGAAGTGGTGGATACACAGTGGCTAGCATGTAGCGGGTGCTCCCTCTACGGCAGTGAGTTTTGAAGACTCTGACGTCCTCTGCACGCTGTCAGATCTACACTTTAATAAACACTCACTGAGCCAATATGGCAGTGGGGGGGCCATTGGGGTCGGCCTCAGTGCCCCAGTTTCTTGCTGAGCCCCAGGGCCTGGAAGGACAGCGGTATTCCATGAGAAAGGGCAGGTGTGGCCACACCCGGCTCCCTGGGCTGGGCACCTCTGTGTCGCCTTGCTAGAGAAGGTCTTGCTGGGTCTCAGCGTGAGGGTGGGTGCCTGTCTGCTGCGTCAGCCTGCGGGGGAGGGGCTTTCAGGTGGGGTTTGTGGTTGAGCAGCGGCCGAGAGGCCTCGCGTCCACAGTGTCTTCATTCTCTTCCATGTGGCCCAGCGCTGTGGAGGATCTGTGCCTTGAGGGGGCTCCCTCAGCCGTAGCCGCACCGCTGAGCACATCGGAGCCACCCGACCCTTCCCCAGCCCCCTGCACGCACACTCTCTCCAGCTCCGTTCTTTCCAGTATCCTCAGTTGCCAGGGGACGTAGCCCTGAGGGGGGAGGCTTGGGGCTGCCCCCCCAGGTCACGGCTGAGCTGGAGACTTGCCCTCTCTGTGTGCCTGTCGCCTCCTCCATGAAACTGAATTCGTGATTCTTCTGTCCCCAAACTCATTAGGGACTCAAGAGGGGCCTCTTTGGGGAGGTCAGAGGATCCTGCCGAGTGGTAGTGGTGATTCTGTGCTTTTGCAAATGGGCATGCGAGGGCTCAGGGCTGAAGGTCAGGCAGCATAGACAGCCAGACCCCAGGAACCTCTGCTAACCTGTCTAGGAAGTTAGGGGTCTTCGGGGCCAGTGCTGTGGCGTAGCGGGTAAAGCCGCCACCTGCAGTGCCAGCATCCTATATAGACGCCGGTTCAAGTCCCGGCTGCTCCACTTCCGATCCAGCTCTGTGCTTTAGCCTGGGAAAGCAGTAGAAGATGGCCCAAGTCCTTAGGGCCCTGCACCTGCGTGGGAGACCTAGAAGAAGCTTCTGGCACCTGGCTTCGGATTGGCGCAACCCCGGCTTTTGCAGCCAATTGGAGAGTGAACCAGCGGATGGACGACCTCTCTCTCTCTACTTCTCCTTCTCTGTGTAACTCTGACTTTCAAATAAATAAATAAAAATCTTTTTAAAAAATTAAAAAAGAAGTTAGAGGTCTTCAAGGGTCCTTGTCCGGCCCACTTTTGCATTTGCAATGTTTTCTGTTTGGCTCTCGAACCTCTCCCCCTGCCCCAGAAACCTTCTCTTAAGGGGAGCACAGCGCCCAGCACACAGTAGGTGCTGGTGCTGGGTCAGTGTGGCTGATGGCAGGTGGGAAGGAGAGCCCTGGGCTGGTGTGAGGGAGGAGCTGGCAGCACGGGGCTCGGGGCACTCCCCAGTGGCTTCCCCACCATGCCGGCCCTGCTCGTCTGAGCAATCTCATTTTGCCAGCGAGCTGATTCATGGGCCTGGCTGCCCGGTGCCCCCAAGCAGCTCTCCGTGAGTAACGATTCTTTACACGCTCCCTCGATTCGATTCTGGGGTTGGAGACAAATTTTCAAAGAGGCGTTCGGTGCCAGGGCCATTCCAGAGGGGCTGTTAACTTAATGTCCCGCCTCGTTCCCACCAAGCCCGGTCCCACTTGAACTCTGCCGGGGTCAGCCGTTGCTGTTTCTAGCGATCGCTTCTGGTTCTCGCATTTGGACAGGGCGTGAGGGATGAAGAGAAGGGGACACAAGTTACAAGGAGGGCGGCGCAGCTCTGGCTCTGTTCCAAGCTTTGCTGTGTGCCTGTCAACCCACGGCTCGCCCTCTCTGGGCCCTGCTTCCAGCTGGCGAAAGCATGAATGCCAGCAAACAGCATCACCAGTGCACCAGCTTTCTGCCCGCGGGGGCCTGGTCGCAGGTCTTTCCTGGAGTTCATCCGGAGGAGCAGTTGGGTAGGCAGGCAGCAGCTTGGGGCCTTTGCCCTCCATCCTCACACAGCACCAGGCCTGGGCTGAAGCTTGCCGCTGCCTACTGTGTGCACCCTGCTCTCCGTGCCTGCTGCCCCCACAGAGAGGGAAATACCAGGACCTCAGGCGTGAGCTTGGTTCCCAGACCTCCCCTGGCCCTGCCACGCTCTCTGGCCTCCACACCTTCCCATCCTCAGGGACCCACAGTCCAGATGCAGCAGAGCAGGTGCAAAAACAGGGCGGCCAAAGTGGGTGTGGCAGAGGTATAGCAGCCCCGGGGCTTTGCACTCACTTTCCGGCTTTCTGAGCCTCCCTGGCTTTGTCCTCCCCAAGCTGCCTGGGGGAGGCCCCCAGGCAAAGCCCCACCTGTCCCACACAACAGGGGGCAGCTGACCTGTCCTTCCCTCTGGTTCTGGAGGCTTCTTACCCACAGACCCATGGGGCTGCTCCCCAGACTCCTTCCAGGTTGGAGCTTAAAATGGCTCCATGTTCCAAATTCTACGGCAAGCTACCCCCAGCACACTCCCAAGCCAAGTAGCCCTCCTTGGCCTACACCAGTGGCCTCATCGCTCTTCCATTTGAGACGGATCACAGGTGACTTTCCGCACTCATAAGGTGGTGGAGAAGAGGCAATCCCCACACGTGAGATCACGCCAATCCATTTACACTCTGCATCCAGCTAGCACCTGTTGAGCATTGCCAATTCCAGGCGCCCTGTTAGGCACCTGGGGGGTAAGGAAAATGCGCCTCTAGGAGCTTGTGGTCAGGGCAGATTCGACTGGCTGCGGCTGCTGCGCTGTGGGCTCAAGGACAGCCCTCCCGCGAGGCCCCCGTGCTTCTGCCCTGGATGCGGCTTTCCGGCGCTGGATTCCTGGTTGCCAAACATGTCGTGGGCGGAGATGGTCCTTTTAGGCCCTCACACCTTACCTGAAAACGAACACCTGGCTGTGGCAAACCCCTTCACTGAGACCCTCCTGGCCTGGGGAGGTGTGCACCTGCTGCCCGGCGCCATACAGAGCCCTTCACATGCATGGCCTCACGGAACCCCCGCCCCAATCCCAGGGTGGCCCCCATCAGTTTGAGCAGGTGACCATGGCAGGTCGGGCTTCCTCCTGAGGCCGACAGGTGCATGTTCCAGCAGTTCCCGGTGCAGCCCGAGCTGCCACTGGACACTCCTGGACAGAGGCTGACTGCCGTTCCTTCCCCTACCCATGACACGTGACATGTGACATGTGCTGTCACCACCTGTCCACAGGCACCGCAGGGGGCTCCTCTCAGGCAGGGAGCTGCTGTGTCCCCACGGACTGCTGCCTGTGCTGGGGAGTGGTCCCCCGGGGCCATGGGAGGCCACGTGCATGCTCACAGGTCAAGTGTGTCAGCCCCTTGGTGGGAGGTGCATGCCCAGCATACCAATGCTAACAAAAAGACCCCCGCGGTTCCCCCAACCCCACCCCCATGATGAGGAGAGGTGGGTGGAGGCAGCCAGGCACACCTCCCCCTTGAGTCACTCCTCCCTTTCCTGGGCCCTCCCTCACCCAAGCCAATCATGACAAAGTCCTCCTTACAAGGCTGGGCTGCATTCTGGGGGCAGATCCTTCACCCCTCAACTGGGCGCCCCCACAGCACTGGCGAGGAGCAGGGGACTTGCAGGCAGGGAGGCAGAGCAGGACACAGCTTGGTCTCCCAAGATTCAGGCTCGTGCCCCGGCATGCGCAGTGCACACAAGGAAGAGACAGAGCCAGCCACAAGGTACTCTCTGTTCGCTGGGAGCTGCCGCCCCCACCCCCAAGTCTGACGGCCTCCATTTATTTAAGAAAAATCCGACACAGTGGTGGGTAGAGCCCGAAGGAAAAGAGGCTGTGGGGTGAGGAAGGGGAGTTGCCAGCTCCCCTGGGCCTGTGCCCACCCCGAGGTCCCTCGTGGCGTTCCCCGGCGCCCTCTTCTTCCCCGGCCCAGACTCTGTTCTGTGAGGGAAGGGGCTCAGCAGAGCGGGGGTGGCTAAGGCGCAGTAGGGTTGACCCTGCTGTGGGGGACACAGCAGGCCCCGGGGTCCCCCTGGGCCCGTGCAGACCGTGGCGCTCTGGGGTGTGGTGTGGCTGGAGAAGTACCCAGGAGTCCTTCCCATTAGGTCCCTGCCCACAGCCCTTGGAGCAGGCAGCCCACTCAGGGAGGTGCCCGGCTCGGTCAGCTCCCAGGCCCTGGGAGGCACCCAGGAGCCGGCAGATGCTACAACTGTACCCCACCCCCCAGAACGTCCTGTCCACAGCAAGATCCTTGGCAGGGCAGGCAGCCGCTACCTCCCACCCTGCAGGACAGAAATCCCTGAATAGTGGTTTGAGAAAAGTCTTTGTGCAGCGTGTGTGACACAGGACTCGCCAGAGCCCCCTGCACAGGGGTAGGACGGGGGAGATGGAGGCGGGGGCTGGGGCACAGTGTGTGTCCACCTCGCCCCAAGCATGGCCTCCCGGCCTCCCTCTTGGGGCAGGGGTTTGCCTAGGATGGAGGCAGTCTGGGAAGGGTGAACAAGGGCTGGGGGTCGCTCTCCTCCCTGCAAGCCAGGGGAGGAAGGGGCCTCCACCTGCAGGGGGCAGAAGAGGGTAACAGTGGGAGGCGGGCAGGGCCCGGCAAAGCTGCAGGAGCAGGGAGTATAAAATCCATCCAGCTGCCTGCCCCAGGGTGAGCTGGGGTCCCCACGGCGCCTATGCAATTTCTTTGATTCTGCGCATGTAATTGTGCAGGTCTGGGGTTGCAGTGGGCCTCGTGGTGCCCGCCACATCCGGGCAGCCCCAACCCAGGTCCTCTTCATCCTCCTCGTCCTCTTCGCCGGCGGGCACTGAGTCATAGGCCAGCTCCTCGGAGGGCAGCGTGGTGAAGGTGGTGAACTTGACCCGCTTGCGCTTGGAGGTGGGTGAGCTGGCGGGGTCCTCGGCCTGGTCCCGGGCCGAGCCGCCCGAGGAGCCATCCCCGCGGCCGTGCACCTGGCTCTGGACGCTGGTCTGCGAGCTGCCGCTGCTGTGGTGGTCGCCGTGGCAGCAGGCGGGCACGGTCTCCAGCGGGTTGCCAGCGGGCGGCGAGAGCTCCCCCTGCACGCGCAGCGGCTGCCCGTTGCCCAGAAACACCCAGTGGTGCGAGTGGTCCATGCTGGTCTGGCCCTCGGGCGGGATACGCTTGTGGCGGTAACGCAGCACGAAGACGATGCAGTTGATGAGGAAGACGAGGATGGCAAGGCAGAAGACGCCCAGCAGCGCGTACATGCCGATCTCCAGGTCGGTCAGCCCCCGCGGCATCTGCAGGAAGCCGGTGGGCAGCGGCAGGAAGTCCTCGGTGGGCGGCGCTGCGGGGCTGCTGGGGCCCAGGCCCGGGGCCTCGGGGCCGGGGAGCGCGGTGCCTGGTGGGCCGGCACCCCGGGCCTCATCCTCGCCCCCACCCGGCCCCGGCTGGCTGGGGCCCGGGTAGTCGTAAGTGGGGTCCTCCTCGTCCCGCCCAAAGTGCACCCGCAGGCCCACGGGGGTCGTGGCCAGCACGCTCTTGCGCTTGGTTTTCTGGCAGCTCTCGGCGATGCTCAGCTCTACCCGCAGCAGCTCCCCGGCCCCCTCTGCCTCGGCCACCACCAGCGGGAAGGCGCGGTCCTGCGTCACGGTGGCCACGCGCTCGTCCAGGCTGCTCACCAGCAGCCCGTAGTCCCGGGGGCTGTAGAGGGAGAGTGGGGCTGTGGTGCCGTCACTGTAGGAGAGCCAGAGGCTCAGGAGGGCTTCCTGGAGGAGGAGAAAGGGGACAGGAGTCAAGACGCTCACTGCATGGACTTCCCAGTTAAGCTGCTGAGCCTCCTGCTGCACTCCCGGCCCTGGTTCTATGCCTGGCCGGGGGCGGGCTCTCAGGAAACGTCATTTGAGTGTGAGTCCTGCTCACAGGTTGTGGGGAGGTGAAAGGCGGCTTACAACATCCAGACCGAGGGCTTCTTAGTCCACGTCAGCTTCTCCCTTTGATGAGCTGAGGCTGAGTTCTGCCTTGGGTCTAGCTCAAGTCTGTACTGCTGCCGGTTAGCCCCCTATCTCCACGGCTGACCTCGGGATCACCCCCATTCGACACCCGACTATTGAGAATACACACACACACACACCCCTCCTCCATTGGCCGAAACCTTCTGAGAGGCATCCTCTGCAGAGGAGGAGGGAGGGCCCAGAGAACGGGATGGGCTTGGGATCGTGGAGCACGGGGTGCAGAGGAGCCCTATGTCCCGACTCCTGCCTTGCCACCCGACGCCCTGCCTTGCTGCACTGCCTACTGCCTGCAGAGTGTACTCGGGGCTCCAGAGATGGGTGGGGGTCCTTCCTGGGGGTGGGGCTGAGGTGACTGCCCTCTGAGCATTGGCAGGAAAGGCTCAGAGGGCAAGGACAGTAAGCAAGACCTTGCCCAGACTGACCGAAAGCCCTCCCTTGGGGGTTCCAGGTGCAAGGGTGAGGCGGAGCCCCTGAGTCCTCCTTCTGCACCCCAGAGTCCCCGGCTGGGGCGGCCAGGTGGCCGGTTACCTGTTTGAGGAAGCTGAGGGTCTGCTGGGCGGCCGTGGTGGCCAGGATGGTGTGGCTGCTCCCGGGGCTGGGCCGCAGGGACAGGGCCAGGCTGGCCACCACCTGGGCCTGCAGCTGTGTGATGCTGACCTTCTCCTCTGTCACCGTCAGCAGCGTCTCCCCCAGCACGGCCTCTGTCAGCGGGGACACCACCTGAGGCAGAGTGCGATGGGAGTGGGAGGGGGCCAGGGTCCCCACGTCGGGGAGGAATCTCAGTGCTTCCAGAGGAGGGGCCCAGAGGGCTGGGGCAGGCGGGGGCGGGGGGGGGGCAGGACTCCTGGCTCTGCTTTGGGTCTGCAGCTGGGACCCGGCGGCCAGTGGTCCCTGGGAGCCAGGCAGCCACACAGATGAGAGAGCGCAGAGCTGGGAAGGACCACACCCACCCTTGCGTGGTGCTGAGCAGCAATGGATGTTCCCGCCCACTCTTCCCGAGATGGAAGGGAGAGGCGGGGGAAGGGCACACTGACAAAACAGGGCACCTGTGAGGGCTCCAGCGGACTGCTGCTGGGGGGAGTGCATGCCCAGGGAAAACCAGAAATCTGGATTTGTTTTTTAAATGAGAAGCTTCCCAATTGCTAAACGTTGGATCAGTTATTTAATAACAAACATGTCTGTCCGTAGGTACATCTGAGTCTCCATCTGCGGTCGCCCAGGTGGGTGACTTCCACCCAGACATCTGACCGGCAGAGACCACGGTCGAGGAGAGCATTCCGGGGCGGCTGGGGGTTGGCTCCCGAGGCTGACGCTCTGGGAACACCTAGGTAACCAAGGCTCTCACCACTGCCCCGTGTGCCTACCTTGAAGGGGGTGGTGCCCGGCTCCAGGCCTGCCAGCGTGCTGCTGTCCACCATGTGTGCCACTCGGGGGTCACCTACGCGCATGAAGTCACTGACCAGGTCAGTGACCTCCACCAGCCAGTCTGGGCCCAACATGCTGACCACCTGGTCGGTGCCCTCGGCTGACGTGGTGTGGAACTGGGTGAAGACCTGCAGGGTGGCATGCTGGTACTGCAGGGTGCAGCCGCGGCTCGCGCTCTGCCGCCGCTCCTCCTCCTCCTCGTCCTCATCCTCACTCTCCCGGGCTGACCTGGGCGGGTGGGGAGATGGGGCAAAGTCAGGCCTGGCCGGACTGCGGGCTCCTTACCCTGGTCTGACCCGCACAAGTCACTGCTCTCTCCCCTGCCCTGCTTCCTCGTCTCTAGCTCACGGTGGGTGGAAGCTCTGTAAGACAGGATGTCTCCTCCTGGCTCAAGCCTGCCTTCTGTGTGTGAAGCCTGGGGCCAGGAGTCCCAGCCTTTTCTCTCCTAGGAAAGTGCTCTTTGGATCGTCTTTGTTCTCTCCTTTTCGGCGTGGCTTAGCCCACGTCTGGGAACGGCTGACGTCAAAACCTCTTCTTCATCCCCAAGCATGTGCTAAGTTCTAGACCTAGGGGACTTCCCCTGGAGGGCTTCCTGTGCACCACCACGCTGGCCTAACTCCATCAGCACTGCCTTCCCTGGACTCAGAACTGGGCTGGAGCAGGCACAGCCACACTCACAGCTCAAACACCGGTCAGTGCCTGGCACATGGCAGCTGCCCAATAAGTTTGTTGATGGCCTGTGTGTACCTAGGGCCTCGCGCACACATGTGCCAGGCTGTGTGCCCCGTGAGTGTCCCCAGCGCCTGCCGTCGGGGCTGTACCTGCGGTCAGGGAGGATGGGCACCCTCCAGCCCTTCACTTGGCTGAGGCGGGCATCTGAGAGCTCGATGTGCAGGGGCAGCTTGGGGACCCAGACGGTCATTTCCAAGGGGGCGTGCAGCACGTCGTAGCGGAAGGTGACCCTGGCGTTCATGGACCCCCGGGACTCCTTGCCACTCACAAACACGTAGTCGCAGCTGCTGGACACCTGTGGAAAGGGACGGCAGTGGGCACGGGCTGCCCGACCTGCCTGTGAGTTTGCCCGCCGGGCCAGGCTGGGGAGACTGGAGGAGGGAGGAGGCAGGAGGCTGGCAGGAGAAGCCCCCCGCCTCTGTTTCTCCAGAGACCACCCTTCGGGCCTCTGTGGGAGGCTTAGGGCCCTGGGGGATGTGCCAGGACCAACCCCGCAGGTAGGAGGCTTCAGGGCCTGGGGTGGGGAGGGTGGGTTGGTGGGGCTCTCAGGCTGGCCCCTCCTCCAGAACAACTGAACTCTGGAGCATGCACAGTGGCTACTTTCAGGGCCAGCGGCTGCTCCTGCTGGGGGCTGAAGATGAGAGAACCGGAAGGGAAAACCCAGGGCCAGGGGAGCCCAAGCTCAGAGCCCAGGCTCCTACGGGCCCACCTAGATAGTCATGTGTGTTCCTAGGGTTCTGCTGACCACGTCTCGGTGATAGGGACTAGTGCCCGCTCACAGACTGGCTGCTGCCGGTGCTGCCGGGGGGTGGGCAGTGCAGGCAGGGGTGCGCGCTGAGTGCCCAAGCCCCCCGGGGCTCCTGCGGGAACACGCCATGGGCACTGGTCCTGGATTTTGGGGGCGGTCTCTCAGGCAGTGGGCGGGGGTGGCCATGGCGAGGCCCCGCCCACCTCCCTCATTGGCTCAGAGGAGAGGCCAGGTGGGAAGAGCAGCCCTGCCAGGAGCGCTCAGCTCCCGCTCGCTCAGCATCAGCAGGCTGGCAGGCTCCATAGCCCCGGTGTGCGTTACTGAGCTCTCTAACAAATTCTAACTCCGGGGGTCTCTCAGCCAGGCCTGGGGCAGAGAAGGTGCAGGGTGGGACTCTCGGGAGCAGGCCCATTTCTTCCCTCTATGCTGACAGGTGATGGGGTGCGGCCTGGAGCCCCCCGCTCTGGCTCCTGTGAGGGACGTTCTTCTGGGTCAGCGATGGAACAGGTGACCCCCAGGCTCCGCAGACCCAGAGGGACCCAGGACAGAGCATGAAGAGAGAGGGAGGGAGCGGGCAGAGGGGGGGTCCCTGCACCTGCACTCTCCAGGAACAGGAAAGCCCTTCATCGTCTCACCATCCAATTCTGGTGTCCACCGCAGGCCGCCCTGGCGGCAGCCTGCTCTCCCAGCCCACAGGTGTGGTGGTCCACTCTCCCACCAAACTGCCTCCCGCCCCCTCCCCCTGCCCACTGCACAATAACGAAGGAGCAAATCTGGACCTTCCTAGGGAGGGCCAACCTGGGCCATTCGCCTCGGACACAGGTCCTGTGTGGTGGCCTGGGGAGGCCGGGGCCAGAGCCAGCCCTGGGAGCAGCCTAGGGGCAGGAAGGCGGAGCTGGTGCTGGCAGAGCAGGAGTGGAAGGGCACGGGCCCTCTCTCCTGGCCTAACTCCTTCCCCCAGCTCCGTCTCTCCCACTGCATCTCCATACCTCCCAAGGGCAGGGATTTGAGGGGCCCACTCCCTCCACCCAGCCCCATTGCCCAGTTGCCCAGTTGCCCAGTGTCTGTCACACACTGGTACTCAACACTGCCTTTTTCTCTCTGGCCTGCCAGAAGGCCTGTTCCCTATTCCTACAGGAAGCCCTCCAGGATTGGCCTGAGCAGTACCCAGGGATGGGGTGAGGGAGCATCTTGGGAATGCACCTTTTCAGAAAGGTGTGATGCCTCCTGGGATGAGGAGAGCCTGGTGCTTCAGGAGGAAAGGGAAAGGATCCCAAGCAGGGGAGGTGCGGGGGTCAGAATTAAAGGCTGAGGAAGAGGGAGCCACCTGGATTCTGGGTCGGGGTTCTGCTCTCCCCTGAAGGCCTGAGGCCCTCTTCTGCAGGGGCCCCACCTCCAGGAAGCCCACCTTGATGATATCCTCATTGTCAGACTCGCATTCCACCAGGCCAGAGACATCTAGCACGAGGCCCGTCACTTCAATGGCGATGACCTTGACAGGGATGGCCACGGTGCGGCCGGTCAGGATGGCCGTGTTGATGATCTCTGTGTCCTGCGGGGGGGTGGCAGAGGGGTTCTGCTTGCCGTCCTTTCTCTCCTGGAACGCCACAGCGGAGCCCTGGCTCCTGGCTGCTCCCGTGTCTTGGAGCCACATCCCTCCTGCAGGGACTTGGGCAGGGACAGGCGTCCACCCAGTCCTATGATCCTTCATGGGGGAGGGGGCCGCTCTCTTGGACTCTACAGGAGCATCAGGGTCTCTTTCACTCTCACTCTCACTACACCCCTCCCCAGTCTCCCGGGTGACCACACCCCACATGCTCAGCTGGCCACTCATGGTGCCCCTGGGCTGGTCTCAGACGATCTTCCTAAATTCACTGCTCCCTGGAACAACCCCTCACATTTCCAGCAGGGCACCTCTGCTCATGTGAGCGCTGCCTGCCCCGCCATCTCTGTTTGCCAGCACTTCCTCCCGGGTGACCTCCCAGGTGGCCCCTCCGTGGTGACTTCCCCTGCTTCTGCCCACCTTGGCACCTGCTGTCCTCACAGTGCCCGCCCCATGTGGGCACCTGGGCACAGGAGGCAGTCACACACACACACACCCATGGGCACACAGCTGCGTGCATGCTCAGCCAGGCACGTTCCAGTCCCTGTCCCACCCGTACCCCATGCATGCCCAGACCCAGGGATCCGGCAGCCAGTCCCCCGCTCGCTCACCATGGCCAGGGGCAGGATGGCCTGCACGTCCCGCTGGATGACCGTGAGCTCGGTGACTGCCCGCTCCAGCTCGGGCAGGGCGCTGTGGCCGCGGTAGTCGATGTGCCACATGATCCTACGCTTCACCGACTGGCTGGTGAAGTTCTCCATCTCAAAGTCCAGCTGCAGGATCTCCAGGGGTCCCTGGCCCTCCCTGCCTCGGTGGGAGAGCACAGGAGGAAGGGCTGGGAGCAGCCCAGGGCTCCTGACCCCCTCCGTGGGGACCCTACCAGGGGCTTCTCCAGCCCTCCCGAGGTGCCCCAGCCCTGCCCAGTGGCCCAGACTTCGCGGTCCCCATCAGGTGGGGCCTCCTCCATCAAGAACCCCCCACCCCTGCAGATGCATAACCTCGGGCTCACCAGGGGGGCGGGGGCGTGCCCTGAGCCCAGGCCACATCCACCGTGGCTGTTGAGTGCTTTGCCCCAGTCAGCAGCTCTGACGTCACGTGCCACTGGCCACTCCGGGACTTGGTACCTAGAAGGGTCACACCCTTCTTGGCCTTTACCCTGGGACCAAGAGGGGAGGAAGAAGAGGGATTGGGTCAGGCTGGGCCCCTGAGGCTGCCTGCCTGGTCAGCAGCCCTAGGCTGCGCTGAGTGTACCCTAGTCCTCGGCTCAGTGAGAGCGATCCGGGGAGAGGGTGTCACAGATGGAAGCAACCTCACCTCTAGGCTATCTCTGCCCCGTCTGCCCCCTCTCCATCTGCACGCCTTAGTGACACCGCTTCTGCCCCCGAAGGCCCGCAGACAGAAGATGTGTGTTCATTTTGCTGAAGCACAATGGCCATGAACCCTGCCACCCCCTCCTAACTGGAACAGTCCTCTAGACAGCTGGAGAGAGGCGTTCTGTGTCTTCTTTCCTCCAGCTCCTCCAATAGTTTCTGTGGCCACAGCTTCAAGTGCCCTCCTGCCTAGTCACTGAGCCCTGGACACTAATGCCACACAGAGTGTAGTGTCCTACAGTGGGCGCGCCACGCCCGCCAAGCTCCAGGTAACACTGACGGAGGCAGACTGATTCCACACCTTCTGCTCCAAGTGCAGCCCAAGCTCTCTGCCGACCGACTCTGCTCATTTGCCTTTCAGCTGTGCAGCGCTGAGTCAGGTACGAGCCCTTCTAGGAACAGCTGAGCTCGACGGGAGCACGCGGTACAAGCACCTGGTACAAGGAGGCTGCAGCCCCCCGTGGCGCCCCGGGGCCTCCACACAGTGCTCGAAGCAGGGGCATTGTGTGGGGCCCTTCCCACGTCCCCAGAATCACCCAGCCTGGCTGGAAGGAACCACGGACTCCTACTGTCCCGCAGGGTTGTGACCTGATCTAAGATGCTCCCAAATCCGTGTCCTGTGTCCTCAGGGCAGAGAGCTGGGAGGCCTGGATTCAGCCCAGTGTCCAACAGGCATACACCCCCATCCATCTTTTGGCAATCGGCCAAGGAGCTACTAATCTCCGATGGCCACTTCTCTTCTTTGGCCTCAGTCTCCTCATCTGTAAAATGGAAGAACTGCACCTGCTTCCATCTAAAGGCCCTTTCAGCCCCGATTCTATTATTCTGGACACCTGTGCTTGTGAAAACTGGCACGTCCCCTTTACTGGGACTCCAATCCGTAGGAGACCTTTAGGCAGGGACACTGAGGCTCCCGTAAGTGAGGAGTCTTCTTGAGGTTGCTCGAGGGATACATGGAAGAGCCAGGATTCCGATGCTGGCCCCGGGTGCAGCTGGACCCCCCACCCCACCCCGCGGGATACTCAGGTGTGCATTTGGGCCCCCTCCTGCCGCAGCCCTACTACCTGAGTGTGAAGTGCTCCACGCTGGGGCTGGGGGCCGAGGAGGCGTTGGGAGCCAGGTAGAGCAGGATGCTGAGCACCTCGCCCGGCTTCAGGGGCCGGTCGGGCAGGCGGATCATCAGGTTGCTGTCCAGCCTGTGCTCCTGCAGGGCCCTCCGGGGCGGCGGGCGGAACAGGCTGATGCTCCCGATGCGTAGCAGCGGGTGCTGCGTGGGGCTCTCGGCGCGCACCCCTGCTCCGGCCCCCGGCCCTCGGCGGGCGCCCCCGCAGCCCCCCGTGGCGTCGGGGGCGTGCAGGGTGTAGTAGAGCTCCGCCTGCTGACTTTCCGCGGCCGCCTCGGCCTCCAGCCCGTCCGCAGCCTTGCGGCGCGCAGAGGGCGGCGAGGCGGGCGCTGGGGGCCCGAACCACGCCAGCGGCAGCTCGGCCCGCACGAGGCACGTGGCCAGGCCCCCGCCGAGGCGGCAGGAGCTCTTGACCTCGCGGGCGTCGCGAAAGGCGTGCAGGCGGACGCAGGGCAGGCGTTCGGCCACGCCGAAATCGTCCCAGTCGCGGCCGGCCACGTAGAAGAGTACCTGCGCCACGGGCTGCGAGGCGGGCACCCGGGCGCGCACGATGAAGGCCCGCACCTTCCAGTTGACCGTCAGGCGCTCAGGGATGTCCAACGTGCTGGACGGCTGCAGGAGCTCCCGCGACACCACCTGGCTCGTGCTGAAGGGCCCCAGCGACACGTTGAGCACCGGCAGCTCCTTGGTCTGGAACACCACGAAGGGCTCGGAGCGCTGCAGGGAGCCGTTGGCCGCGGGCGGCGGCGGCGGCGGCCGCGCCTCCCGCAGGAAGAAGGCCAGCCGCGTGTGCGACAGGCGGTAGCTCACCGGCAGCACCGGGCTGGCCTGCGGCCCGGGCGGGCTGGGGCTGGCCGGGTGCGAGCGACCCGAGGCTGGGGACAGACAGAGGAGAGAGGCGACAATGAGGAGTCAGGAGACCCCAGGGCGCCCAGCCTACCCGCCCCCCCTCCGGGGCCCTTGGCTCTCCAAGCTGCGCATGCAGCCCGCTGTGTTTCCACCCCGGGGGGGGCCCAGGCCTGGCACCCCCTTTCCTTATCAGCAGCGTGGAGGTAGGGAGGCTTGTGCGGCTGAAGCCGGATTTTTCTCTCCGCCCCCAGTCTCATCCGTAAAACGGTAGAAAATGCGTTTCTGCCTCACAGGGCCGTCCTGTGCCTTTGCAAAGTCATGGCGGTCTTCCCTCTCAGGGGGGTTCCTGACGGCGGGCACTGTGCAAGCCTCAGAGCCCAGCAAGCCTCAGCTGGATGGATCCTGAGGTCAGTCCTTCCAGGTGGGCACTGTTGGGGTCCCACTGAGTCAGCCGCTTTTCCACCAATGACTTGTTACATCTGACAGGTAAAGGGGCTGTGGCACAGGGCGCAAGGAACTCCAGATCACCCGGCCAGTGGCGGGGTTCCGTCCCGGGCCTGCCCCATTCTCAGACCCAGTCTTTATTGCACCAGTTGTCCAGGTGGGGAAGGGTCCCCAGGGACCCTGTATCTCCTGAATTTACCACCAGGCTCCAAAACCTGTTTGTAGGCCTCAGGTTTGACTTCTCCGGCTTCTCAGTCCCCTCCTCCCCACCTACCTAGGAAGTTACTGAGTTCTAGAAATCTCCCCTCCTTTTTTAAGAAAAATGTTTGAGGGGCTGGCGCTACAGAGTAGTGGGTAAAGCTATGTGTAGCACTGGCATCCCATATGGACGCTAGTTTGAGTCCCAGCTGCTCTACTTCCGATCCAGCTCCCTGCTAATAACCCGAGAAAGGCAGAGGAGGACAGCCCACGTCCTTGAGCCCCTGTATCCACGTGGAAGACCTGGAAGAAGCTCCTGACTCCCGATTCCTGGCTCGGCCCTGACCATTGCAGCCATCTGGGGCGTGAACCTGCAGATGGAAGATCAATATCTCTCTCTCCCCACTCTCTCACTGTAACTCTGCCTTTCAAAACATAGATAAATTAAAAGAAATGTTTGAAAGGCTCAGAGAAACAGACAGATCTTCCGTGTGCTGATCCATTCCTCAAGCGCCTGCAGCAGCCTGGGCTGGGCCAGGGTGAAGTCAGGAACCCAGCACTCAGTCTGGGCCTCCCATGTTGGTGGCAGGGACCCAAGCTCTTGAGCCATCACCTGCTGCCTCCCTCCCAGGGTGCATGTTAGCAGGATGCTGGAATTGCAGACAGAGCCAGGACTTGAACCAGGCACTCTGATAAGAGGCGGGGCATCCCATGGCGTCTCACGGCCCTGCAGTTCCACCTCCTGACTCACTGGTATGTCCCAGGCTGTCCCCTATCCTCCAGCCCCATACCCCTCCCTATTCTGGCCTCATTGCCGTGACACAAAACTGCCTAATTGGGCCCCCTGTCTCCCGCATAACAGCCAGGTCAGTGTTTTCTCCTGGACACAGATCAGCCTATGTTGTCCCCTCACTGCCAGCGCAGAACCTGTTGGACACTGACGCGCGACAGAGAGGGCTGAGGTTTGAGATCCCGTTCTCTTCTTCCCACGCACCGCTCTGAGTCGCGGTCTTCAGCTTGAAGGGGCAGTGAGAATGCTGGCCTCCTAGGAAGCTGTGTCATTTGTTCAAGTAAGAAAGCACTATTAATCGTGCCACAGAACATACAAGTGTGCAAGTATTGAAGACTCTCTTCTGTGTGCTTACAAAACCCAAACACACCCTGCCCCTGAGTGTGGCATTCAGGGCCCCCTAGGCCTCCTGTCCCCAAGACCTGGCTGGCTGGCAGGGTGACCGGGACAACTTATGGTCGTGAGGGCTCCCAGATACCATTGCACTTCCTCTCCTTTGCTCAAGCTGCATCGTCTGCATTCTCTTCTCTCTGCACACATCCAGATCTGCGCTGTCCTCCAAGGGGCAGCTCCAGGGCCACCTCACCCAGGACGCTCTCCAAGCTATGCCCTTGACTCTCGAGAGCTCTGGTCTTCCCTGAGGTGACCTCTGCCCTCCTGCCTCGTGTGGGAGTTAGCCATCATGTGGCCTTGCACCCAGCAAGTCTTCAGCAATTGCGGTGAGTGCAGGCAGAGGAGACGCGATATTAGTCCTCGGCCCGGCGTGCAGCTGGTGCCCCCTCATCACTGTGCCACCGTCCATCACACTGTGAGCGCTTCACAAATGTTCACACCAGTGCCTCACAAAGGCAGCCAATTAAGTCCCCACTCTCAAGGTTCATGTCTCAGGTTTCTAATTAGAGGCAACCGACCTGGGGTCAGTTGTAGGAGTGGCATTTGGTCTCACACCCCTCCTCAGGGACCCCCCCAGATCCTAAGCAGTGGGTCCTGGTCTCCCCAGAAAGCCCAGGCTTAGCCAGCATTCCCAGGAGAACTCAGCCCCCGGCGGCCCCTCCCTCCTAGACACTCTGTGGCCCTGCAGGAAGTGCCGGCTGCGGTGCTGGGGTGCACGTGGGCGGCAGAGGCCAAAAGGAGGACAGGAAGATGTTAGCAGAGATGGGAAGAGCCCTCTTCACTGGCATCTGGGGTCCCTGGCCACCCTGCAGTTACCCCTGGGCCTCTGAGACTGGCCCCCAGCATGCATGGGGAAACCCAGGGTACTAGCTGGGGTCAGGATACAGCTGTCAACCACCTGCTTTGGAAGCAATGGCAAACAAGCAAACAGCTTCAGCCACCAACTCACTAAGCAAGTTGCTCCCCATCCCGAACCTCAGTTTTCTGCTCTAAAGTGATGGTGACTTCGGCCCCACCACCTCCTAGGGATGCTGACAGTGGCAGAAGGACCAAGGCTTAGGCTCCGCTCTGTGAAGTGCGGAGCTGCCCAGGGGACGGCGAGCTGCTGCGTGTGGCGGGATGGCAGGGGCCGAGCCGGGGAGGGGCCGCCATGCTTGGCCCTCCAGGCTGGAGGAGGCCATCTGTGCACGGGCGCTGTAAGTGCTCACTGTCCATGCTGGGTGGCGGGTGTGGGAGGTCGGAACGCTGCCCTGGGCCCCAGAGACGCCGGGAGCTGCTAAGTGCCACTTAGTCCCATTTGCCCCTCACCATCCTGGCTTCATGGCTGGCCATCTGGAGCCCTTGGAGGCACAACAGGGGCAGGGGCGAGCAGATGGGCACTGGACTCACGGGGCGTGGAGAAAAGGATTGGGGAACTGTGTCTGCATGCCACTCTCCGCCCCCCAGCCGGAGAGAGGGCAGCTGGCCGACCACCCTTGTTGCAGTCTGAATGCACTGAGAAAATGTAAAACTGCTTCTGCCTCAGGGCCTTTGCACTCGCTGCTCCTTCTGCTTGGAAATTTCTCCCCTTGACAGGCACATATTTCTCTTTGCAGTCTTCAGGCAGGGCCGTCCACCCTCCCTAGCGTCTTCCCTCCCCCAGCCTGTTTCCTTCTCGGCACCTGCCCATATTTCCACGCTTCTGCCTGCTGGAAATTCAGCAGATGTTGCTTTGCTCCTTGCACCATGCTGGTGCTTAACACTGGCTGGCACGTAGTAGGCCCTCAACTGACTTCTGTGACAAGAATGCACTTCTCCGAGTGAGCTGCCCGGCACCGTCTGCAGAGCTGCAGGCGTGATGGGAGCCTTGGTCAATGAGGCTACCGAGAGGAGACTGTGGGGAGGGCTCCTGGCCCTGGGCCCAGGCTCTCGACCCCGTTAGCAGCCCTGCAGATAAGAAAGCAACTGGCACTCAGCAGGGCGCCTGGCATCCAATGTTACGGGGCTGTGGCTTTCCTGCTTCTCACCCTGCCACACACACCTTTCCTTCCGGGGCCCTGGGGGCTCCCCTGTGGGCAGCGCTGGTGGGGCCCTGAGACCCTGGCACTCATCTCTGCTCTCCCTCTCGCTTATTCTGGCACCCACTGGAGCCTCAGTTTCCCCTGGGAGGTGGTGCTGTGGCAGCAGAGAGAGGAGGTGAGGCTGGCAGAGTCAGCAGATCACTCAGTCGGTGGAGGGTTTGCAGACTGCGCGAATGTGCATGTGTGTGTGTGCACGCGCGTGCGTGCAAGTGTGTGTGCATTGCAGCCCAGAACTCTGACCTCCAGACACCATGACCATGGCTTGGGCTGGGAAAAGGGACAGCTGCTAGGAGACTCCTGGAAGTCAGATATGGGGTAGGTACTGGGGATCAACACAAACACTGAGGTTAGGTTGGCTGCAGAGGTGGCAAAGGTGAGACTGGGGAGAAAGTGACAGCCTGGGCCTGCCTTGAACACATTCAGCACCAAGCAGGTGCCCACACCCTCCCCACAGCCCTGGAGGCGTAGGTACACACATGCACATGGGCACAATGCACATGCATGCACACAGTGCACACACAGTCACACGCACTGGCTAGCACTGGCCTCAGTGCCCAGCAGGCTACCCAGAGTGGTACGTGGGCATGGTTTTGAGCCCCAGCCCCAGCCTGCTTCCCAAGTCCATCTGCCCCATCTGCACCTCTATCGGCCCTAGCTCGCCATGCGGAGCAGGCTCAGTACAACCTTGCCATCAGCCACCTGTGCTCTGCCTGCAGCCCTTGCCCACACCTCCTGCTGGATCACACTTCTGTGGGTGGTAGGGGCTGGGCCGTGTCCCTCCCCGAATTCCTGTGCTGAAGTCCTGACTGCCAGCACTTGAATTTGGAGGGAGAGCCTTTAAGGTGGTAACAGTTAAAATGTGCTTATGAGGGTGGCCCACTCCCATATGACTGGTGCCCATATCAGAAGGGGCCACGAGCGTGCAGCCGCACACAGAGGGATGCTGACGGGAAGCGCGGGGAGAAGAGACCCTCACCTTGACCACTGCCTTCCAGCCTCTAGACTGTGAGGAGGCCCCTGCAGTGGCTGTGCCTCCCCCCTCTCCCCGGGCACTCTGTTATGGCAACCCAGGGAGGGAATACATGGGAATTGGTGGGGTCTGACTCACAGCCTCAGTTTCCCCAGTGAGATGTGGAGCTCC